GGGCGGGGGTCCGGGGGTCAAACCCCTACCCCGGCTTTGCCCCCGGCGGCCCCCACGTGACAACCCTGGTGCTAATTCAAAAAGGCGAAGATGGTAGAGAGCGACCGATCAGATTTGAGAGTAGGACGCTCAATTCGGTTGAGCGACGCTACTCTCAGTTCAAGAAGGAGGTACTTGCGATACTGCATTGCCTCAAGACCTTTCAGGCTTACCTCTTCGGAAGGAGGTTTATCCTGAGGTTAGACCCAACCAATGTCGTTGGGGCCTTGAAGAACTATAAGCCTATAGACCCGATTGTTGGAAGATGGGTAGGATTTATCTCGCAGTTCGACTATAAGACTGAGCGCATAGCCGGCCTTAGGAATTGAGCAGACGGACTGAGCAGGGTGGCTCTCACACCCGAAGGGCTGGAAGAGGCAGAGCCGATCGACGCGTTCCTCGACTACGAGGGCGGGACGCTGGTAGTAGACAGCGAGATGGCCGGAACCACTTGCACAACTGGGGAGCTATTGATCAAAGCACTCGAAAAGGGGCCTCCGACAGTGGCTGCCGAGTTAAGGGAAGGAACGGTGACCAAAGTTGGGAGGAGGGAAGAGAAGGACGCTACGGGCAGTGTTGTGAAGCCCCGGGATGTAAAAATCGCACTAGCCGCTGAGAGAGGCTGGAGAAGGGTTATGAGCATGATGGAGTCTCAGGAGCTGGAGATGCAGCACTATCAGGCCTATCAGGTGGATAATAATCAGACGGGTACTCAGGAAGAAGAGCAGTTCTTCCTCATCAAGTCATATGAAGGATTTTTCAGAGAAATAGGGTTGCTACAGGTGGGGAAAAAGGAACCCCACGAGGTTAGTCCTAGAGCTAGGAAGGATGCGGATAGGTCTGTGCTTAGAAGGGGGCACCTATTCCGAAAGGAGGAAGGCCTGACGCCCAGGAGAGTAGTTTGTGGAAGGATACGACAGCTCGACATTATTCAGGCCATGCATGACGGATTGGCTGGTGGCCATCGCTCATCCAAAGGGACCCTAGCCAAGATAACGCCGCTCTATTATTGGTCGGGAATGGCATCTATGGTAGCCACGTACCGCCAGACCTGCAAAATCTCCCAGGAACGAAGCACGGTCCACATTTTCGAGCCACTTAGACCCACCCGCGTGCTGGGGCCAGGGCATATGGTACATCTCGACCTGGCAGTCATGTCGGTTTCCAGAAAAGGGTACAGGTACATACTTGACGCAAGGAAAAACCTTAGTGGGTTTGTCGAGGCAACAACGCTCAAGAAGAAAACTGGGTTTGCAGTTGCAGACTGGGTGGAGAACTTTTATTTGAGGCACCCGTTCATCAGGAGATTCATAGGCGACAATGGGACTGAGTTTGTGAACCAGGACGTCTTGAATACCTGCAAGAGGCTTGGCGTACTGATCAAATTGACAGAACCATACCACCCTGAGGTCAACGCGCCACTCGAGCGAGGGCACCAAACGCTTAAGAACACGATTGCAAAGCTGGCAGCAGATGACCTTGGGAACTGGCCGGACTATCTCAGACACGCGGTATTTGCCGAGAATATGACACCAAAAAGGACGACGGGATGCATCCCGGCAAAGCTATGGTATGGCAGGGAGATTGACTTTTCGGTAGAAGCCCTAGTACCCACCAGGAACAAATTGGAAGATGACCCTCATCTGACTACGGAACAATTGATTGAGGCAAGGTGTGAACAAGCGGCCAGGAACGAGGAGGCCTTGGAAGGAATAGCTCACAAGGTACTAGACAGTCGCATGAAGGACAAAACCAGGTGGGACCAATTGAAGAACATCCGGAAGGAGCCTCTGCAGGTCGGGGAGATGGTCCTAGTCAGAAATTCGGCACTTGAAACTACATGGTCAGGCCAGTTGGGGCGGCAATTCAAGGGACCTTGCCGTATTGCAAGAAAGTTGGGTGTGAGCACGTTTGAGATTGAGAACCTGGATGGGATCACTATAAGGGGGCCAGTCCCTGCGCAACGACCGATCAGGTTTCTCACTAGGGATCCGGTGGAACAATGGCTGCAAGAAGCCCAGGATAAGGAGGCGGGCTCAGGACAGAGGCAAGAGACCTACTTATCGCTTGTGCTTCTGGTTGTTGTCTTTTCTTTTTTGTGTTTCTCTCCTTTTGACGGCATGGGTGTGCACGAGTCGCATGGGAAAACGTTCGATTCGGCGGGGGTTTTCGGTATCATAGTTTTTGTGGGATACTGGGATGAGCAACGGGGGATGGGACATTGTACCATAAGACATGGCATTGGAGGGGCGTTGGGAAAAGGGGGCGAGGTGGTCGGCTGTTCCTCCTTTCTTTTCTTCTTCATGCCTTTCTGTTTCCGTGGGAGCAACCGGGATTGGGGGACACGTGTGGGCAGAGCCTGGGATGAGTGTCACAAGGGGATGGGTTGGGGCTTTCTCCTGTCTTGTGTCAGGCGGACCAAGATGGCACCCAACAACGAGAATGATATTAATCAAGCAAACATCAATGTTGATGACCCATGGCGGCAACCAGAGACGCCGCAAAACAGAAACACACCGGTGCTCGTGATAGGACCACAACCCCGGCCCCTTGTGAGGACGGGAAAAAGGAAGATGCGAGCCTGTAGACCCTCCCCTACAAAAGAAGGCGATGTGCTCCCAGCCTGGCCAGAGGATGAAAGTGCGCAAGAATGGGAGGAAAGGAGGGAAGAAAAAGGGACAGAGGACCAGCACAAGGAAAAACCTGGGCAGGGAAGCCGGAAAGACGCTAAGGGATCCACAGAAGATGACAGTGAGACAGTGGAGGACATTCCGGATATTGTAATTGTAAGTAGCGATGACGAGATGGATAGGGTCTCAAGGCCCAGGCCGGAAGGACAGGCATCAACAAGCAGGGCCTCAGAGGAGGTCCACGATTGGGAGGAGGTATTCTGCCCCACACCCAGTCATTGGTTCGAGGTGTGGGCCAGCACTTTCAGACATCACTGGATTATTATAGCCCGTAGCCTCATGGCGGCTGGGGAGACGGTCACGCCAACGGACTTTTTCTTAGAAAAAACATTACATGATATGAAGAAAACATTGGACGAGGTACAGACCTACGGGCTGGGGGTGGTGCCGCCACCAAAGACAGAGGAGGGCAGGGGCGCTAAGCGCCAAAGAACGGATCGAGATACTAGGAATTAAGGGTTGGCAAACGGGGGTTGGATGGCACGGTTGGATGTAAAATAGGGGCGCAAGGACTCGGCAAACCAGTCAGGGAGAACGACGAGGGTGGTATTTTGTTAGGTGGCTTCCTAGAAACAGAGTTAGTTAAGGCAAGGATGTGGGACTTTGTGTGAAACAATGCCTGCTGACCTGAAACTTGTTAAAAGACATGAGGGCAAGCTGGGAGATGCAGGGAGAGACAACTTTTTGAGTATCAGCTACTTTTTCTGAGTTTGGCAAAGACGAAGAAGAGTGTGATTGGGGATTCGAACGTAAGGAGGCTCTCTCTTTGCTATTTAAACAATTTGCAATCCGGTTTCTCTCTTCTCATCAAATTGTGATATTGGTTGGATTGGAAGGACTTGGGCCTGGCTACAGACACAATGAGTCTCTCAGAATGTACGGTCACATGTGTGAATGACGATGGTGTCCTGTTAAGAGAGGTTAGGAAACCTACGGGAAGAACGACACGACAATGCTTTCCCCTAGGAGCCTAATCCGACGGAGTCCAGCCCTCAACATCAATATGCATGAGACCTGCAGCTATGATTGAACGACCGGGCGGGCTAGCATTGCTAAAGGCTGGGTGAATCCCGCCGCAAGCTAGACACTAAGTCGGATGTATGAGAAAGATAAAGAAAAGTGGAGCAAGAAAATGCATAGCACGCTAAAACTAATGGCCACCACCTACCCCCCCCCCCAACTGACAATCGGATCCGAGCCTCCCTCATCCCACCCCCTCACACACTTGTATTGAGAAGGGAATGGGAATAGGGAATGGCCCTAACAAGGCTGTTCAAAGCTCGAGATTGGAAAAGAAGAACGATCCTAACCAGGATGCTCGGAATGGCCCCTGACAAGGGTCATTCTTTGGAATTGGCACTCAGGTCCCCTTGCATGGCTGCTTGAGACGCATGATATTGAAAGAGCTGAGCCTTGGAAAAGGACATTGAAAAGACGGAGCCTTGGAAAAGATATTAGACCCAGCCTTGGAAAGGATATTGGACTCAGCCTTGGAAAGGATACAACCTTGGAAGAGATAATCGCATCAAGCATTGGACTGAGATTGAGCATCGGAATGAGACTGAGCATTGGAATTGGATTGAGTATTGGAAATTGCATTGCATAAACAGGGGACCTTAGGCAACTTGAAATGGATTTGGAAATGGCATTGAAATGGATTTCCTTTTTCTTCTAGTCTTTGGCCTCAGCGAGACGGGGTTACCGGTGCACGCACCACGACCCCAAGACCTCTATCCCTTTGAGGGAAAAAGTCTCAGCGCGACCTGCTCCTCCCTTAAGAGGATGAGGGTTGGACTAAGGCACCTACCACTTGGATCGGTGCGGGACGTCCGGAACTGACCTTGACAATGAACTCTAGTCGGGGAGTTCAAACTGCGCCTCCTGTTGAATGCCTAAACGTCGAAGGGCAAGAGAGCCAAATGGGCAAGGAAGCCATTCTCATCTAGTCTATTTTATCCTCTCCAACCACACGCCATGTCATAGAGGGGTGCCATGGCCGTTTGGGTCGGACCTCGGCTGCCCGCACTAAGTTGGGTGGCACAGTCCAAGGGGAGGGGCTTGGCGGAGTACCGGGTGGAGTCCGCGGCCATCACGGGGTATTGACACTGCCCTGCCGGAGCATTACAACCGTTTCGGGACTAATTGCGAGGTCTTCGTAACTGCACTCGCTGCTAATTGAGAGCCCCAATTCTCTTGGATTGGATGAGGCCGGATTCGCAAAACATACCACTTTGGGAGAAACGATTCGCGAGGGAGCCACTCTCGGGCAGGATAGGGTCCTGGGAGATAGGGACTAGACCTGTCTCACGGCTGCGAGGAGGCACCTCAATGATGATGCCTATCTCCGAGTTGGTGGCCGCCGGACTAGGGTAGTGGATGAGGTGAGTTATCAACAAGGGAAGGACTGATCACCCTTCCTCTTGCTGATGGGCCGACATCCGCTTACTCAGTGGGCAAGCAAGGTATGCGTGCCTCCAAGTGAGAACCTCTAACGCGATGGGGACATCGCGATTGAGTGGGGGGAAGGTGTGCCATCTACCTAAGGACAAAGCGTGCAAAGAAGCAAAAAGGCCCAGGAAAAGATGGACAAGAAAATTACATTGGACTTGGCTGAGCTAGGCCATAAAGGTGCCTGGCCAGATGGGTTGTGAGAATTGCATTGGAATTAGCTGAATTGGGCCATAAAGGTGCCTAGTCAGACTGATTGTGAGAATTGCATTGGACTTAGCTGAATTGGGCCATAAAGGTGCCTGGTCAGATGAATTGTGAGAATTGATTAGACTTGGCTGAGTTGGGCCATAAAGGAGCCGGTCATATGGAGTGTGAAAATTGCCTTTGGTCGTGGTTGAGCCGGGTCACGAAAGAGCCGTCGAGGGGAAATAAAGAAAACAAAGTAAAAATGGAATGAAGAAAAGAGGGAAGGGGCGGGATTCTTGTATCTGAGTGGGGGGGGAAGAAAAGGACGGTCTTCCCAAAATCTACAAAGGATCAAAGAAAACGGGCAAGACGAAAGCACAATGGAAGGGGGTAATGAACGGCAGAGCGATGAGGTAACATGGGTGAGACGCGGGCAGGATTGGCAGGACCTGAGAAAAGGTCGAAAAAATGACCCAGGGGAAAGAAGGGAGCAATGGGGAGTGGCGGAGAGATGGAATCAAGGTTATAATGCAGCTAAGGGGAGTTGTGCCTGTGTTCATCAATTCGAAGTGGGTATCACCACAGCAAAGGCGGCGGTTGTACTGGACGAACACCCCCCTTCCGGAGCAGATGCCTGACATTGAGTCACATCCAGAAACTTGCCAACAATTGTTTAAACAAGGCAGGAAAAACCAACCGGACTAGGGCGACGAATGGTCATCCCGGGGAGGAAGTCCGTCTACTGGGAATTAAGAACAGGAAGCAAGGAGAGCCTCGCCTGCCTCGTGTTACTGGAGTCAAAGGAACGCCGGGCTGCCCTGCTGGGTATACAGAGTTGACAGAGAAGGAAACTCGTGTCTCGGTGGAGGGGAAGATAAAGAGGCAGAGCTATGACGAAAGTGAGCAGCTTTGTCGAAGCTGTAAGAAGAAAGGAAAAAGCTTGAAGGGGAAACCCCGACCCCCATACCCTCCCCCGCCCTGAGGGGGTAAAGACAAAAGAAAAGATTGGGAAGAAGACAAAAAGGACCCTGGCAAGCTGATCGCCCATCTTGACCCTCCCCTCCATCCCCCCGTCCGTGCCTCCAGATTCCCACTAACTATGGACAAATGCGCGATGAGGACATCGCGAATGAGTGGGGGGAATGTGTCGGGACCGGAGGGTCCCGAATGAATTCCCGTCACTCGAGAACTTGGATTTGGCCGATTTGTGCACATCAGAGAAAATCGGGAGCAGCGACGAGACGCGGAAAAGACGGGCCGTCTGGGGAAAGCGGCCTATTGGGTAGAAAACGACGAGGGAAGCTGGCAAAAACAAGAGAGACGGCTACGAATACGCAAACGCAGAAAACGCAGCTCGTGAACAGGAAAGTGTCAGGAGCAGTCGACGAAACCAAGTATCAAGAGGCCACGAAGAACCAAGTATCACAAGACGTCGGCGAAATAGCCGGCAGTTGGACGACGAGGACGCGAGACGAACCAATTGAAAACAGGAACGTCACCTGGGCGAAGCCGGAAAAGACGGGAGGAACTAAGATTAGCGGAAAAGCAAGAAAAAGTCGGGGCATCGATGGAGAATCACTGGCAAAATGAAAAGGAGCAGGGGTGACGCGAGAAATTCGGAAAGGACCTGGGATGCCCCAGAGGAGTCCTAAACTAAATGGGGTAAACGGTAAAAACAGCCAGGTGGCGCCTGCGGACGGCCCTGTCAGTACCATGGATCAGGATGGGAAAAATACACCAAGCACCACTGCGGCAAGCGCCGGCGCGGGAGGCCGCGGGAAAAGTAGAGCAGTAGCGGCAAGGAGGCGTGGCTGACAATCCGGAATGGTCGGGGCCAGCCAGGCCAAGAAAAATAAAGTTCCATGATGGCCGCAAGGAAAAAGGGCTGCCCGGGGAAAATCGGAGTGAAAGGGACCTAGACGGGGAGTAGCGGTGGCCAAATGGAACCCCTAGAGCCGTGGGGGTGCCCAGACTGCAGTCCGAGGCACAACGGCCATGTGCCGGCTGCAAAATCAGACTTTGGGTGGGGTCCAACAGCTAGAAAGAGGGAAAATAGCTGTTGGACACTTGTCCCAGCAGAAATAAAGGAGGAAGGAGAGAAAAGGGGGAGAAAAAGGAGGAAGAAGAGACAGAGAGGGAGGAAAAGGTGGAGAAAAAAATGCCGCCAGGTTGGGACTGCAGCAGTAGGGACTGGCAGGTCTCAATGATGACCTCATCCCTCCAAGATTCTAGGAGGGTATTCCGGATTGCAGAGATAAGGCCCTTGGGGCATTATTATGCAATATCTAAGTTAAATCAGCAAAAATGCAGAAAAATGCTGATGTGAGTTGGCCGGCTATTTGTTTTTTTCTTAGATCTGAGATCAGATCTTGTGAAGGAGGAGATCAAGCCCTTTTTTGTGGGCTGACACAAAACGGCTAGCTCCGGAATGAGGTGGCAGCAAAATGGAGGGAAAACAAAGCAAGGAAAAGGACAAAACTGGGAATTTGGCTCAAGGGTTGGGCCACATTCATCAGAAAGTTGAAAATTGAAACGAAGGCCTTAATTTTGGAGGTAGGGAGACTTGAAAAGAGGCCGGAGCATTGTGGACCTTGGATCTCAGCCAGATCCAAGGCTGAGATGGATGCCGCCACTTGAAAAATGCAACGGCCTACTCCGAAAGGGCCTACATCTGGAAAAAGACAAGAAAAGGGTCTTTAGGTCCTCAATTTTCACCAAAGGCA